GAGTTAGAAACATCGATGAGAGAGAAACATCGATCAGCTGCCTCCTGCACACTCCCCACTGGGGATGTGCCTGCAACCAAGGTACATGCCCTTGACTGGAATCGAACCCGAGATCCTTGAGTCTACAGGCTGATGCTCTATCCACTGAGCCAAACCGGTTAGGGCAATTAATGCCCTTTTAATGTGCACAAATTTCGTGCACTGGGCTACTAGTTGCTGTATAACATCTCATTGTGTGAATATATTTTAATTTACCTGTCCATTTTAGCACTGGTAGGCATTTCCCACTTAGAGTATTATAAATTGTGCAGCCATGAACATTTTAGTGCTTGTCTTTGGTGCACATCATACACATTTCTGTTGGGTTTATATCTAAGAGTGGAATTGCACAAATCCATAGGATTATAACACAAATTTTTGAGTTGTTGTCTTCCTCTCTTTGTATTCCAAGCATATCTCCCATATGCTGGCAGCAGTTTCTAAAACCACTTTGTAGGGTTCTCCTTTAGTGAGATCAGTGGGAGAGAAATCAGGGGAAAAAAATCAATTTCTCTGCTTTTCAGTGCTGGACAGTTTCAGTTGGTACCAGAGTTTTAAAAACTTAACAAATTGCTTTTTCCAGACAGATCACTGAAAAACTGGCTGGATTTTGCTATTCAAAACCATCCTTCACATATCCACAAAGAGTTAGCATTTTGTTGTTCTAAAATCTACATTATCTGATATTAACAATGGTCACTGCAGCATTCTTCTGATTAGTGGCGGCTGGTAGATCTTTCTTCCATCCTTTTATTTTTTTTAACCTATCTATATCATTATATTTATAGTGGGTTTCTTGTAGACAGTATATGGCTGAATCTTGGTTTTTTAATATCCCATATGGAATGTTAAGAGCATTTACAATTAATGTAATTATTGATTTAGTTGGATTTAGATCTATGATTTTGGTATTTGTTTTCTGTTTTCCCCCTGTTTAATCCTCGCCCCTGGTTCCTCTCCTTTCTTGACTTCTTTTTGATTACTCAATATTTTTAGTATTCCATTTTAACTTAACTACTGATTGTGTGTTTTTATTTTGTTTTCTGTTATATCTCTTTGTATTACTTTTTTTAGTAGATACTTTGGGAATTTCTGGATACATGTCTAACCTTTCACAGTCTACTTAGAGTTACTATTATACCACTTCAAGTAAAATGTTGAAGCCTTACTAGCATATAGGTCCATTTGCCTGCCTAAGCTTAAATTATAATTGTCATATGTAGGACATCTACATATATTGAAACCCCTTTCAACAATCATACATATTTTAAAGAACTTAGGAGGACAAAAGTCTATGCAGTTACCAAGATGGCCATTCCTTGTGCTCTATGCTGGCAGAGTTTCTAAAACCACTTTGTAGGGTTCTCCTTTAGTGAGATCAGTGGGAGAGAAATCAGGGGAAAAAAATCAATTTCTCTGCTTTTCAGTGCTGGACAGTTTCAGTTGGTACCAGAGTTTTAAAAACTTAACAAATTGCTTTTTCCAGACAGATCACTGAAAAACTGGCTGGATTTTGCTATTCAAAACCATCCTTCACATATCCACAAAGAGTTAGCATTTTGTTGTTCTAAAATCTACATTATCTGATATTAACAATGGTCACTGCAGCATTCTTCTGATTAGTGGCGGCTGGTAGATCTTTCTTCCATCCTTTTATTTTTTTTAACCTATCTATATCATTATATTTATAGTGGGTTTCTTGTAGACAGTATATGGCTGAATCTTGGTTTTTTAATATCCCATATGGAATGTTAAGAGCATTTACAATTAATGTAATTATTGATTTAGTTGGATTTAGATCTATGATTTTGGTATTTGTTTTCTGTTTTCCCCCTGTTTAATCCTCGCCCCTGGTTCCTCTCCTTTCTTGACTTCTTTTTGATTACTCAATATTTTTAGTATTCCATTTTAACTTAACTACTGATTGTGTGTTTTTATTTTGTTTTCTGTTATATCTCTTTGTATTACTTTTTTTAGTAGATACTTTGGGAATTTCTGGATACATGTCTAACCTTTCACAGTCTACTTAGAGTTACTATTATACCACTTCAAGTAAAATGTTGAAGCCTTACTAGCATATAGGTCCATTTGCCTGCCTAAGCTTAAATTATAATTGTCATATGTAGGACATCTACATATATTGAAACCCCTTTCAACAATCATACATATTTTAAAGAACTTAGGAGGACAAAAGTCTATGCAGTTACCAAGATGGCCATTCCTTGTGCTCTCCCTTCATTCCTGAAGTCCCAAGTTTCCTGGTATAATTTCCCTTCAACTGGAAAAAATTTTTGTTGTTGTTAATCCTCACCTGAAGATATTTTTCCTTCACCATTTCTTTTTTTAAAAAATATATTTTATTGATTTTTTACAGAGAGGAAGGGAGAAGGATAGAGAGTTAGAAACATCGATGAGAAAGAAACATCGATCAGCTGCCTCCCGCACACCCGCCACTGGGGATATGCCCGCAACCAAGGCACGTGCCCCTGACCAGAATCGAACCCGGGACCCTTCAGTCCGCAGGCCGATGCTCTATCCACTGAGCCAAACAGGTTAGGGCTTCACCATTTCTTTTAAGTCAATTTCCTGGCAACAAATTCTTAGAGAGTTTCTTTACTGCTGAGAATATCTTTATTTTGCTTTAATTCCTGGAAGATATTTTTACTGGATATAGAATTATGTGTTGACAATTCTTTTCTTTCAACACTCTAAAGATATTGTTCACTGTCTTCTGACCTCCGTGGTTTCTGAGGAGAAATCTATAGTCATTTAAATCATCAGTTTCTCCATATGTAATGAGTCATTTTGTTCAGGCTGATTTTAAGATTTTTTATTTTAAGCAGTTTGGTTATTATGTGTGTGGGTATTGTTTTATTTTTTCTTTAAAAATATATCTTTTTTTATTTCAAAGAGGAAGGGAGAGGGAGAGAGAGATAGAAACATCAATGATGAGAGAGAATCATTGATTGGCTGCCTTCTGCACGTCCCCTACTAGGGATCAAGCCCGCAACCCAGCAGGTGCTCTTGACTGGAGTAGAACCTGGGACCCTTCAGTGCGCAGGCTGATGCTCTATCCACTAAGCCAAACCACCTTGGGCTGGATATGGTTTTAATGTGCTTTGTTTTGTTTTTCCCTTTTAGGGATTCACAGTGCTTCTGAATCTCTATGTGTTTTGCCACATTTGGGAAGTTTTCAGTTATTATTTCTTCAAATACATTTTTTCTATACCAATCTCCCTTCCCAGTGGTGCTCAAATGACACATGGTTTCCATTTTTATATTATTACACAGATTACTGATGCTCTGTTCATTTTAAAATTTTAATATTTTTCCTCACTGTTCTTCAGATTGGATTTCTCTTGCTCTATCATCAGGTTCACAGACTTTTTCCTCTGTGGTCTCTATTCTGCTATGAATTTTTTTAATGGGGATTTAAATGTCTGCATCATCCCATATGGTCTGTTTAGCTTCGAGAGAGCAGAGCCTGGTGCAGGGCCAGGAGAAGAAAATGAAAAAGAAACATCACAAAACTAAAACAGGAATTTCCTCTGTATTCTCAGGCTCACTGACTGGATCCCTTTTCTTGGTTCTCTGGCTAAACAGAGGGGATTTCTTTTGGGGTTTTTGTTTTATTCACTCACTGTGCAGTTCCATGACTCAGACTACTACTCTGGGGACAAAGCCAACCGATAAAGGAGATTTTTTAAAAAGACACAAAACAGGAAACTCCCTTCTTCATTGGAGAAACGCTAATCTGCCTGCTATTTCTATTTGTTTTTTTTACTTTTGAGTCCTCAGGTAGTTTCTTTTTTAGTTCTGTCCAGGTATTTAGTTGTGATCAATGGAGGAAATAGGCTATGGTGGGCTTACTCCATTTTGACTGGCACCAAGAATCAGGTTACGTTACTGTTTTCTAAGGTTTTTCACAAATATGCTCATTTATCAATGATTTCTCAAGCACTATGTGCTAGGCTCTGTGCTAGGTGCCAGGTATATAAGAGAGAGCTAGACAGACACTGTGCTAACAGCCTAGCAAGGAAGAATGACAGTGAATAAGCAAGCACACAAGGCATGAGTATCACTTAGGAGAAGCAGCAAAACTACAGCAGGAAAGGGAACCTAAGGAAGGCCTCCCTGAGGAATTGATGTTTAAGCTGAGAACCAACAGAGGAACAGGAGTGTGAGCCAAGACCAGTGCACTTTCAGGCCTTGAGAAGAGCAAGTGGTGGCATGTTCTAGAAACTGAAAAGGAGGTCTCAGTGAACATATACTAGGTAGTTAGAGGAGTGTGACAGAAGATGGGGAGAAGGTCAGGAGAGGAGGTCATGTGCATCTTTGCAGACGATCTTCGAGATTTTTAATTTAGTCCCCTTGGGAAAATGAGAAGCAAAACAAACCCATAATTTTGATATTTTTGGAATCTGACCCCATTTCACAGATCGGGGGAAGAAGGCTCAGAAAGGTAGGCTAGGGCATAGTATTTTACAGATGAAGCAAGAAGACCCAGAAGGGAGATTTATGTGAACCACAGAAGGAATAAATGGTAGAAAACTGACTTGTAGCCAAATATTCAACTCCCTGGTTCGTCAGTGCTATTTCTTCCACTCTCACTTGCTCCAGGACGTCTCATTGTCACTTTTGCAAGCACTGAGAGCTTGGTTGTGTAGCATCTTTTTCTTCACCTGTTTATCTTTGCAGTGCAGAAAAGGTGCGGGGTGGATGACTGCAGCTGTGCACGCATGTGTGCATGCATGTGTTTGCATATTCCCAACACTGGTAACACTTCTGTTTCCGGCAATTTGTCCAGCAAAGTGATCCATCAATTCACATCCCCTGGGGAATTCACTGTGTTTGCTGAGTGCACAACTAGTGAGTGGCATGGGATGGCTCAGAAGCAAGTGACAATTGAGACAAGATGAAGAGACTCAGTGTGACTGGGTGCTCTGGCCTGTCCAAATCAGGAGCCAGCCCTCTCTGCCAGGTTGTCTTCGGGGACCCTATGTGGATTCAGGTGGAGCTTGATGGAGGTGAGTCTGCAGAAATGGTCAAGGTCAAGGTCAAGGCAACCTTGATATCCCCCAAATTTATCCATCCAACTCCCAGGCTGTAATAAATACTAACAGCAATCACTTATCAGTTATTTAATTATTCATTTGTTTAGCACCTCATGTGTGCCAGGAACTGATCTAAGTATTTTACATATACTGGCCCACCCAGTATACTATTATTATCTCCATTTTACAGATGAAGAAATGGAGGAAAGGTTCAGAATCAAAGGTTCAAAGTCTCAGGCTATTAAGCTAGTAAGAGCTTCCAGCTTTCCGAAGGTGGTTCTTTGTATGCCCATAGTCCTATCTCAAGAATTTAACTTATAAGACACTCCTTGCTGGGGGTATTTAAATAGGACTGGGAGTGCTACCAACTGGGCCCGAGCCCATCTCAATGCAGCCAGCATTGACCAATTTGGTCCAGTTATGTTGTTCCAAGTCAGGGCTCATATTCGGCTGCACACACTGCTACAGCCATAGCAGCTGTTGTGACTGGTGTCCATTCTCATTGGTCACAGTTTCTTTTCTGATTGGTCACAAAAGCCATTCTAATCATGTCCATTCTGATTAGTCAAAGTGTCCATTCTGATTGGTCATAGCAACGTTTCTCATTGGTCACAATGTCCATTCTGATTGGTCACAGCATCCATTCTGATTGGTCACAGTGTTCATTGTGATTGGTAACAGCATCTAATCTATTCTGATTGGTCACAGTACCCGTTCTGATTGGTCACAGTATCTATTCTGATTTATCAGAACACCCATTCAAATTGGTTCGTACCCATGCAGTTTCAGTGTTAAATCTTTTGAATACCACCCCTTCTCTCAGTAGAGACCCTCCCAACTAAGATCCATCCTCACCCAAGCCAGCATCTTTCCTCAAGGCACAGGTCCAATTTGAGATCTAGATAGAGTCCTGTTAACGTAAACTGTGCAGCACAGAGCTGTAGAGGTGAGAGCATGACCTCACGTGACCTCACACTACCTGAAGCCTCATTCAGAGCAGTGACTTACAGGAACTCTAACCAGGCTTTACATACAGTACTTGGGACTCCTGTCTGTGTGGTGTGTTTGTTGGCTGAAGATGGTGGCTGTGTGTAACTGGAGAAGCTTAAAATAATCCTTCATGTATTTATTCATTCTACAAATATAATTGAGAGCATACTCTTTGTCAGGTATGGGAAAGGCAGCAGTAAACCTGAAAGTCAGAATTCCTGCTCTCGAGGGCTTATATCATCATCATCATCATTGTCATCATCATCATCATCATCACCATCATCATCATCATCTTTATCATTACCATCATCATCACTAAACAAGAAACACACTAGCCTAATTTCTTTCGGAAAGAATCCTAATTTGTTGGTTGATATCATATTTTAAGAGTCAACCACAATATTTAGCATTCAGTAAGGACAACCAGCCCCAACCTGTAAGGGAGCACCATCGCAATGTCAACAGGCTGAGTTCTCCTGTGGACAGGGTTTCTGGCAGTTAGCTGTGGGAGCAGAAGGAAATGGCTTCACCTGCTCCTGCCTGAAACAAGACTTGAGGTTAATCCTCATGCATATACATCAGCTATACCCTTAGCCTTCCTCCCTACAAAAATATGGCAACAAGTAATCTAATACTTTTATTACAAACTTTTAAGTTTTTAGGTAACACATGCATAGTATAAATAAATTAGAATATACAAATGAGCAGAGAGGACCCAAAACTCATGAATCCAATACTCAGAGATAATCACTGTTAATATTCAGGGGCAGGGTATATCCTTACTTACGTCTTTATAGCTATATCCATATCCATGTCGATTCCCAGAATCTCACTTCAGAGCTTGAGTTTGAATTATCTCAGTATAATCAACTACATGGTTGTTATCACATTCCTAAATGTTTCTTCCCCACCTAGAAATGGAGGTGACTTACACTGTGCTATCAGATAACACAACCCTGGCTGACCCACCACACACCGCCCTGCTCCCCTACAACCTCACCCTGGACAGAGCAGCCCAGCAGGGGGTGGGTCCAGGGATGGACCACCTGGAGACCCGAGCCACCAGCAACACCACCACCTCTGCACCCTCCACAAACATCACGGTCCACTTCATGAAACCTCTGTCAGGGCCGCAGGCCTCCTGGGCTTCTGACCACTTGGAGCTTGGACAGGATCTACTGGTCAACATCTCAGTGGCTCATGGCATCCCAGAAGAGCTGACCTTTGAGGCAGCAGGACTCAATGCATCCTTCTCCCATGAGGGAGAGAGCCTTGGGCGGCCATCTGGGATTTACCATGTGGCAGTTCCTCTTGAAGATACTTGGCATTGGTAGCTCCCTTCCAAATCTCCCTCCTCTTCCCTTCCTAACTTAGAATCCAGGCTCCTGCCAGCCAGTTTCCAGGGTGCCCTGGACACAAGCATGGTTAAGAGCATCCAACCTGAGTCACAAAACAAGACAGAGACAGATATTATCTGTCCTCATGAGCGTGTTGTGACAGGGGTTCTCAACTTTGGCACTTCAGACATTGGGGACTGGATCATTCTTGGTTGTGGAGGCTGTTCTGTGCATTATAGGATGTTTAGTAGCATCTCTGGCTTCTATTCCTTAGATGCCAGTAGCACCAGCCTCCCAAGTCTTGGCAACCAAAAACATCTCCAGACAACGCCAACTGTCCATTGGGGAACAAAATCACCCTCACTGAGAACCATTGGGGGAGAGCAGGAGTATTCCAATTTCTTCCATCATTTCTAGAAAATAGTGTGTTTGGGAAACTGCAGCCCATGCCCTTAGGGGCAAGAGAGGTAAACACTGAAGCATGGGAAGAGAAGAGAGAGGGACAAGAGAAGAAGTGTCATAATTCTTACTGGAATAGAGACAGGGCAACTGACTGGCTGGCGGACAGACTGGCTGGCACCAGCCAGGGGAGGAGACCAAGCATACATTTGCATTTAATATAAAAAGAACAGGGTCCTTGAGGGCAGTGTGGTCAGGTTAGCAGGCAGGAATGTGATGAGGGCCCAGAGTCTCCAGCTCACCCAGGACCCTGCCTGCAGCATCCTCTGCCCTCGATCTCAGAGGTGTGCAAAATAGAGGGTAATACTATGCAGGTGTAGGCCTACCATGCTGTCAGTAAGGGATTTGGCAAAAGAGATGACAGAAAAGACAATAGATTCAAGAAGAAAAACATAGGAACTTTGCCAGATAACAAAAGTCCAGTTTGGAACAAGAAGCCAAAATGAAATGATGATGGAAACTATACATAATAAATAGACTATAATTCAAATGCAAATTAATTTGTCTCCTATAAAAGTTACTCGGGATAATAGATAAATTTTAAGCATGCCCAGTGACTTTATGGCTTACTTTTAGATCAGGGGTGGGGAACACCCAGCCCGCTGGCCATATAAGGTCCACAAAATCACTTGGTCTGGCCCTGCCAAGGCATTAGGGGTGAGTTAATTAAATGTTTGACCAAAGATAGCAGGCTAAATTTGTTGTTGTTGTTGTTGTTGTTGTTGTTGTTAATCCTTGTCTGAGGATATTTTTCCATTGATTCTTAGAGATAGTGGAAGGGAGGGAGAGAAACAGAGAGAGAAAAACATCTATGTGAGAGAAACACATTGATTAGTAGCCTCCCGCATCCGCCCCGACTGGGGCTGGGGATCAAGCCTGGAACCCAGGTATGTGCCCTTGACCAGAATCAAACTTGGGACCCTTCAATTCATGAGCCGTCACTCTATCTAGTGAGCCAAACCAGCTGGGGCAGCAGGCTAATTTTAAGTTGATAATTTTGTATGGCCCACAAATAATGTTATAAATATTCAATGGCAGTAAAAAAGGTTCCCCACCTCTGTCTTAGAAGGTAAGCAGTCTTCTCCCCACAAGAAAAACAGACTTGGATGACTTCAGTGGTGAAGGGGGTGAGGAGGAAGGCAAGGGAACAGGTAGAACAGGAAGGCTCTCACTTGGAGGGGCTGGCCCAGTCCTGGCTGGCCTTGGTCTCAGGGCCCACCTCATATTTGCAACTATCTCTGTAAGAGCTTCTCTGGACTCTCAAGGCCCCGGGCTGGGCCCCTCTGCTCCAGGGCTGGGTGCCACCTCTCCTTCAGCTGGTCATATTCTCCCACATGCCTCTTTCTTTACTACCAAAGAGGTGTCTTTAGCCCACTGGTAAACATAATGGTTTGCTTTTGATCATTTCCCTATGACCTGAATGTTTGCTATGTTCCCTAAACCATTTCCAAAGACAGGCAGATTCCCCAGGATCTTCAGCATACCTTTTGACTTTGTCCTTTGGCAACTTTATCAATACCACCAAAGTCTGACACCTGTTCCCACTGTGTTCACAGCTCCTTCCAATCTCCAAGAATTATCTGGAACAAATGCTGAGGAAAAGAATGTGAGTATTTTTAAAAACACAGCCTCACAAGAAAAAGATGTCCAAGCACTCTGTTTTTTAGGCGTTTTTGCTTATTGGGTTTTTTTGGTTCTGGTTTTTCAGAACACTAGGAATCACCGATATTTCTTCTGCTTGAAGAGAGACCCAGATGGATTGAAATTAAACAAAGCATGCTATTTGTGTTATAAATCAATAGTAAGATATCTAGGATATGTACATATCTTTTAGCTATCTTGGAAATTAAACATCACACTTCTAAAAAAATATTAATGGGTAAAAGAAAAAAATCACAAGGGAAATTTAAATATATTTTTGAGTGATAATGACAATACAACCTACCCAAATTTGTGGGATGCAACCAAGGCAGTGCTCAGAGGCAAATTTATTTCTTTTAATATGTATATCAGAAAAGAGGCTTGCTTCTTACAGGGCTTTGATATTTCATCTTCAGTTAACACTTTGAGATGAGATCTGCCTCTCTTTTCTCATTAGCTATTATAATTAAAGTACTACTGCTTGGTCCCAATTCCATGATAAAAGTGCATACATGGGCAATGTGATGGTTTTTATAGCAAGACTAAGTCTTCGACTCCTTGCTGTTGACATTGCTCATACACGCATTTATTCAATAACAAAGACTTATTTTGCATCTACAATGTTCAAGGCTTAGTATTAGGGGCTGGTGATACAATGGTGAATAAAAAGACATGATCCTGCCTTCATGAACCTTACTGGGTGAGATTAACAAACAAATTAGCATATAACTAGGAATTTTGATATGTCTAACTAGAACCAATAGGGTGCAATGAAAGCAACTAACAGAGGGTGATCTAGCAAATGTGATTAGACAAGGAATTTTTCTTAAATTCTTTATTGTTTAAAGTATTCCATATGTCTCCTTTTCCCCCATTGACCTCTCCCTGGACGTTCCCACCCCAGATAAGGAGTCTTAAGAGGTGACATTTAAGGGGGAACCTACTGGAAAATAGAACAAGAGCTTTCTGGGTGCATGGATTAGAGGGCTCTGAGGCCTGTGTGGAGGAGGGGGAGGATGTAGAAGATAACACAGAGATGGACAGACGTCAGATCACATGGGGTCTAAGGTGCCAAGGCAAGAGGTTTTGGGTTTTATTATCAGGCCATGGGAGACCACTGGGGTTGAATTCTGCTGTAGCCTCATGTTATTCCAGGTCAAGCCCTAAGAGCATAAGCTGTTTAACAGGTCCTTCCAGAACTGACTCCAGGAACACACTGCATGCTGGCTGATCCCTCTTCCTAGAATCCACATGCTCTCCATTGTTGCCAGCTCACCTTCACTCCTCCTCACAACAGCTCTCTTTGGGGTCCAGTCCTCTGGGGAAGCTTGCCCTGATGCCAGCTGTCTGCTTTGTAGAGGCAACAGCTCGGTGCCCTCCTCTGCACTAGACACAAGAGGAAACGCATCACTAGCGTCTCTCATTTGATCCACAGCAATCCCGGGAATCAGATGTTATCAAACCCTCGGAGGGACAGAAGCTAAGAGGCTTAGATACTGGCCAAAGGTCCCAGGGCCAATGATTCAGCCTGAGATCTGGCTGCCCCAAGGCCTACATTCTTAACTTAATGCCCCCCTCTCATACATTCTCATAATCTCCTGGGCCCCCTCTCCTGCAGCAGTGAGCACTCTGTGTTTTAATCGTTTCCTTATCTGTCTTCCCTACTAAATGGAAGGACAGAGGCCTGGTCTATATTCCTGTTTGTCTAGGGATCAAGCACAGGGCCTGGCTAGAGCAGGTTCTGATAATGCAGTTGAACACATGGTGGACCTTTAGCACTGAGCCCACATTCCAACTAAACTTACTTACCCAGTGACCATCCCAAGGGGAACCAGACAGATCAGACAAGGTCTGTCTCCATTCCACACCTTGGCACGATTGCTCTGAGGTAGAGAGTGGGATGCTAACTGTGGAGAAGTGTCTTACAAACTAGCTGCTATTTCTGCAGAGAGATAAAGGGGATGTGGAGGTATATGTGGAACCTGGTCAGTATGTGGATCCTTTCACGACAGTGACTCTGCACTGGCTGGATAGTGACAAGGATTTACGCTTCCACTGGTCATGTGGTAGGTGGCGTTAGAGCTCTGGAGCTGTCCTATCTCACCACAAAGTGATGGATAGCGGTTAGCTTTGCTGTTCTTTTTCTTAACCTTCACACCAGCATACTCATGCCTGACATTTTGTGTACACTGTATATGCCAGAGGCTGCAAATTCCAATGGAAATAAGAGGTAACAGTGAAAAACCAAGGTGGGGTTGGTCCTAGAGGCACACAATAAGGAGATGCATTTATCTGTAGAGAATTTAAGAACTATAACAAACCTGAAAGTCATCTGCTTTTGTATTATCACTACAAACAACGCCAGTGGCAAAATGCTCCTCCCTCTTAGGTGGATCCTTCCTTTCACCTCCATGCCTTAGAACAGTGGTTCTCAACCTGTGGGTCGCGACCCCTTTGGCGGTCGAACGACCCTTTCACAGGTGTCGCCTAAGACCATCCTGCATATCAGATATTTACATTATGATTCATCACAGTAGCAACATTACAGTTATGAAGTAGCAACGAAAATAATTTTATGGTTGGGTCACAACATGAGGAACTGTATTTAAAGGGCCAGAAGGTTGAGAACCACTGCCTTAGAAGAAGAAAGTGATGAAGCATTTTCTGGCAAACCAAAATTGTAACAATAGTGCTTATTTTTAAGAAATGGTTGTCCTGGTCCTGGCTGGGTATCTCCCTTGGTTAGAGCACCATCCAATATGCTAAGGTTGCAGGTTTAATCCTGGTCAGGGCACATACAAGAATCAATCAGTGAATACATAAATGAGTTAAAAACAAATCGATGTGTTTTTTTTCTCTCCCTCTCTTTCTTTCCTCCCTCCCTTTCTCTAAAAATAAATAATTTTTAAAAGTTACAACAACAACAAAAGAAATGGTTGTCCTTTTCATAAGGATATATTCTATCTACATACATATTTTTTAGAAAGAAAATGAATGTCATTCATACTGTACATATTTCATTTGCTACCCTTTTTAATTGAACAATATATCCTACATACTTCAATGTTACAGTACCTTTGTCTCCATCTTGATATTCATAGTAGTTGCATAATGGACTGTCAATTGATGCATGATCATTTATTCACGATTGCCTTCTTTTTGGACATTTTGGCCATTTTCAAATTATTTGCCTTTACAAACACTGTAATGAACATCTTTATAGCTGAATCTTAATTTGTATCAGTGGTTACTTTCATAAATACATTTCTAGAAATGCAATAACTGGGTCAAAGTCATGAAATTTGAAGGTTTTTATTTTTTTGGTTGGTGTTGTTAATCCTTACCCGAGGATATTTTTTCCATTGATTTTTAGAGAGAGTGGAAGGGAGGGGGAGAGTCAGAGAGAGAAAAACATCTATGTGAGAGAGACACATCGATTGGTTGCCTCCTGAGTTACATGCCCTTGACCAGAATTGAACCTGTGAGCCTTCAGTCTGAGGGCCGAGGCTTTAACCACTGAGCAACTGGCTAGGGCTAAAATTTTAAGGCTTTTGACATTAATTATTAAGTGGTCAGAATGTCCTTTTGAGTATTAGTTCTTGTTATCTAAATTAATAAAGGATACCATGCAGAGTTTAGGTAATTGAGCTGATGACCTGACCCCTGGACATGTCTTCGGAATGACTATCATATTTGGGGCAGGGGATAAACATCAATAAACAAATTTGAAGGGCAAAGAATACAGAGATTTATTGAGCTGGTTTCATAAAGCAGAAAATGACACTGCAGCCTCCCAGATGGAGGGACAGCTCCCCAAGTCCCCAGTGCACCCCACAGTGACATAAAGCTGTGGACAATTACTTCCATGTGGAGTGAGAAATACACCAGTGACAAAAAACTGCCCTGGACATTCTCCCAGGCGGGCACCTCTCATTATATGCCAGCCTGCTCACCAGCGCAAGTTACTGGCACAAAACAAGGCAACATATTCTGCAGGTTTGCTCAGAGTCTAGGTGAAGCACAGGTCATTTTCCCAGAAGTATCTTTCTGCAGTACCATTCCTGCAACCTGCAAGTGAAATTTTAAAAAAAATATTATCAAAATCTCTATTTGAAGCTGATTTTCTTATCTATGACCCTTTTCTTCTAAAAACCCCAAACCAGAAGGTAGCCACATGTGTGAAGTTCAGAATTCCTGGATGGACAGTGTTTCCCTATCTCTGTTTCTCAGGCCATTGCTGGGCTCAGTGGAATGACTGTGTTGAGAGGCAGCTGCTTTGCACAGACCAGAGGGAGCTGGTGGTCCCGCCGTCCTGCCTGCCACCACCCAATTCTGCAGTCACCCTGCACCTGGCCATCTGGAGAGGCCAGGAGCTGGAGAAGCAGGAGAAGCAGTGCCTTTATGTGTTTGCCCCCCTGGAACTCAAGCCTCTAGTCAGGTGGGGCTGAGAGAGCGAACTCCTGCAGTGATGAATTCATTCATCATTCAGGCACCATTTACTGAGAACCAACCTCGTCTGGCATTGACTTAGAGCAGGGCTTACAGTGGTGGTCAAAACCAGACCCGGTCTCAGTTCTTATAGGGTTACTACCTTGTGGTCAGCAATGATTCGAAAATGAATGAAAGAAGAGAACATACTTCTATGACAACTTTCCCAACTTGGGGTCAGGGAAGGCTTCCCTCAACAGAGATGAGAAGCGTGAAGAGGAATTAAGTTGGCCAGGGGAAAAGGGACTGGGAAGGAAACAGAGTGATAAAGGAGGGAGCACAGAACAACCTGGACGTGAAAGAGGCTGGTGTGGGAAAGAGAGGCAAGAAGAAACTGAAGAGTAGGCAGGGCCTTGCAGTCATGTCAAAGACAGGATTTTGGTCTTTATCCTAAGAGTTTGGGAAAGCCATGCAAGAGTTTTAAGCAGGTTCAGGACATGATCACATTTTGCTTCAAAATGCTCTGGTAGCAGGGTGGAGGAGGGCAAGAGAGAACTCAGGGAGATTGCTTAGGCTCTTGCAGGAATCTAGGTGAGAGCTCAAGATGGCTTGGTCTATCAGCCAGGTCCCTGCAGGAAGCAGATGGCTCACTCAGACCAGGAGTTGATGAGAGCTGGATGAGAGTCTATTTACAGATGTGGGCAGAAATGAGGGAACAACTGGGGATGACAATGCAGAACTACAACAGGGAAAAGCCATTATCCCTCTTACGAATGCAGAAGTAAAGGGGGTGGGGAGTGGCTTTACTAGAAACCTCGAGGATCTGCAGCTTGCAAGAGGTGCCCCCCAACAGGAGCTATGGTCTTGGCTGGAGGAACACAGCCTCTGCCAGCTGCAGCCCACCAGGGGAAGTTGTAAGTAAATAAATACCTCAGCTTCTGTCCTCTCACCCCCAAACACCAGCCAATGCTTCCTATTGGCTAAGCCCAACAGGAAGCCAGAGGGTGCAGGAGCCCAGGTGATGCAGTCTACAGGGATCAGTCTCCTAGTACACAGAGCCCTGGAGTTGATGGACAGTGGGCTGCAGGGTAAACGGAGAATGTCTGGCACATTCGTCCTAGGATAGACATGAAGACAGGAGTAGGGAGATCTAAAGAGCTGCTTTCAAGTTATAACTGAAAGGACCTGGGAATGGATTGAACACACAGCAAGTGCCAAAGTAATTCCCACTGGCTCAAGGGAGGGGGTATTATAGAGAAAGCCCAGGATTCAAATTAAGACATGTTGGTTCACATTCCATCCCCCTACTTAGGAGGATGTCACTGAAACAACTCATATATAAGCTCCCCAATCTGGTTTGCTGGTCTGTATATGGGGATTCTAATATGACACTCATAGGGTTGTGGATAAGCTAATAACAATGAAAGTCATGTATAAACTGTGGCATGCATGCTATAAAATCAGAGCATTCATTTATTATTATTAGAATGAGGAAGAATCATGGACAATGCCTGCTCTAATCCCCTCACAAGGAAACTGAGGCTGAGAGTTCATGCAAGGTGTCAGGGAGAGAATTCAAGGCCAGCGTCCTATCTCAGCCTTACACACTTTCCATATCATTACCCTGGGCAGTGCATGAAATGGAAATTCAGTCAGGCACAAATCACTCCACCTTCATGGCCAAAGCTATTTCCCAGTTTGGTTTGGGGTGGGGGTTGCTTTTATTCCATCTTTCACTTGAAAAAAGGCCCTTTCTCACCTTCTCAAAGGACTGAGAACAACTGGACAAAAGACCAAGCAGGTAGGTGGCCACGACGCCTGAATGAGCTTCCTCACTCTGTTCTCTGTCTCCCTTTCAGCTGTGAGAAGAACTGCGGGCCAGTGAATGCCAGCGAAGATGTTATGCTCAGGGTCTCCATGGGGAACGACTCCCCAGCAGCCATGTTCAGCTGGTATTTAGATAACACTCCACTAGAGAAGGTGAGGACACTGGCAACCACTCAAAAATGGAAAAGTTTCCCCACTTTGACTTCTCATATGCCCAGGACTAAGCTGGGGTGGGTCAACTCCACCCAGAGCTGGTGGAGGGGGAGTAAAGGGGTAGGGCATATTCCCCAAAGGAAAACCAGGGCATTGGTCAGAGAAAGAATGGATGCCTGGGAGCAAAAACAACGGGGAAACACCACCGCAGATGCTGTTGGTGCCCCAGCCCTGTGGCCAGTAACTGTGCAGCTTATGTGCTCCAGAGCTCCCTGTGGGATCAGGCTGAGGCTGGACACCCCCTGAGACCACTTCTTTGCCTAGTTTCATTCTCCACCCTATTCTGCTTCCTTCCCTCCCCTACTGGTTTTCCCTAAGAGCCCTCCCTCAATAAACCATCTGCAGTGAATCCTCATCTCAGGCTGTGCTTCTAGGGAACCTGACCTAGGACAATACCCTGACCAGGCTGGAGACTGCACATCCAGGCTGACCTCAGGAAGCACGCAGTGCCTGCTACTCATCCATCAGAATAAATCTGAAAGGCCTCTCAGGGTTAGAAACCAGGGCCCCGCTGAGGTCTAGTGGCCTGACTGTAAACTCAGGGGCTCTGGACTGTGCTCTCTTTCAGATCCAGCCCCTCCCAGCAGCCTGTAGACGCCGAGGATTTTGGCCAAGATCTTTAATCCTCCCCCAGAGCAACACATCCACGCTGCTGCTCAACAGCTCCCTGCTGCAGGCCTGGGGCCAGGCCAGCCGCATCCAAGTCACAGGTGGGAAGGCCTCCCTCAGTCTCTTGTCATGGATTCGGTCTGTTGCAGAAAAGGAGCCAAGAAAAACCCAGAAGCCTGAAATATGGAACATCAGGCACTGGTGTGAATCCCATCGACCACCACTTTCTAGCTTGGAGGCTTTAAACAAGGGATTTAACCTTTCTGTGCCTCAGTTTCCACACATGTAAAGTGGCGGGGGTTGCTATTCTCGGTGCTGTGGGGCCTGAAAAGAGCATGGTCTCAGGTGGGATCAGCCTGTTCACAGATCCTGGCTGTGGCCCTACCTCGATGAATGACCTTGAGCAAGTCATTGCTCCCAGTATACTCCCTCCTCACCAAACTCTGAGGAAGCTCCATTTTTACAGCCCCATTTTACAGATGAGGAACTGACTCTCAAAAGCTTAAGTCCAAGGTCACATGGCTAATAAATGGCAGAACTAGGATTCAAACTTAGGTCTGTCTGAATCTGTTCTTCCATTTCTGCCCAATTTCTCAAAGTGAGATGCTGGGATGTCCTGCATCAGGGCATTTGTTAGATTTCCAGATTTCTGGGCCCATCCCAGAACCTCCAGAGAGGTCTGAGGCTCAGGGTCCAGAGAGGGACTTGGGAATCTGCATGTTCAGCAAGTTTCCCAGATGATCCCAAAGCATGGTGGGGTTAGTGTGACCCACACAGCCCCTAAGCACCCTTTGTCTTCCCTTCCAGCAATGACCAGGCACGTCTACAGGGAGGACACCTATGTTATCAGCTCTCTGCCTCCCCCCGAGGTGCCCACCTGCATCATTGCCCCCGAGGAGGGCACCGTTCTAACAAGCTTCGCCATCTTCTGCAACACCTCCGCGGTCCTGGGCCCCCTGGAGTACTGCTTCTGTCTGGAATCAGGTACTGGCCAAGGCTAGGCTCCTCCCTCAGTACTCGGGCTCCTCCTTTCCCAGAATAGGGCCTGTCTCTCTCTGGAAGCTGCAAAGAATATGTTCCATGTATGAGAGAGGTTTGCAAGATGAAAACCCCATCCCTACTTCACAATACCCTGTCACCACAACCCAACCCAGGACAGCAGTAGGGCATCAGCAGGAGAGATGGGGTGAGCAGCCACACTGCACCTGTACTCCAGTTTAGGGATGGTTGATCCTTGGAGAGCTCATATGCATCTTTGTCTCCTCCCAGTGGGTTTTGGCATTTGGGGACCCTCCCATGAGCTCTGAAAATATTCTAGTTAGATTGAAACTTTCTTCCAAACCTGGACATCAGGAGTGTTGCTGGGGCACTCTCCAATATTCAGCACTGAACACTATAAAGATATAAATTGAGTGCCTTGACCAGGGAAAGGTGGACGTAAGCTAACCTGCGAGTGTGGTTTTTTCATGGGGTGTCCCTCTTCGGAGGCCAATGGCAGCCAGGTAGGTGTCCCAACCCAGATACAGACCTCACACCTACCATATGCCCAGCTCATACCAGCTTTTCTAGGTGGATCTTTCACCACATCTTGAAGATGAGGAAATTGAGGTGTGGAGCTGAAAAAAAAGGTTCCAGAGACCATAACTTCTGAGAGGCAGTATGGTGTAGCGGGCCAAGAGCAGGCTCTGGAAGGAGACAGACTGACTTCAAATCCTGCCTCTGTTGCTTACACGCACCTCCCGCACAGAGTTAGTTGTCTAAAGATGAAAAGGGTTCAGATAAGTCAAGTGTTAGAAGCTTTAAAAGGGCTTACCCTTTGTTCCCTCAATTAATGGTGTCCCATCATGGTCTCTGCCTCACTCCTCCACCCTCTCTCAGTCCCTGCTGAAGGTCCCACACTAGCCTCGTGACAGTAACCAAAGGTGGCATATGGAGACAGGTCTCTCTCCTTTCTCCCTCCTCTCTCTTCTCTTTGTCCTCTCTCTCCCTTCCCTCTCCACCTTCTCTCCTCTCTCTCCTTTCTACACACTCCTGAGTTCTTTTCCAGGCGGCCACAGTGCCTCAGCTGCTCAAAGTTGTGGAGCATGTACAGGAAGCCCTCCTGCTGGGGAGACTGCCCAGGGCCTTCCAGCCATACTGGCCACCCCCTCCATCTTCGTTTACACCAATAGGTAACCAACTGCACTGCAGGTCCCCAACAAAGCCCGTCCCCTGACCTGGCTCATTCCACGCCCACATCCCAAGACCCTGTGGCAGGCAGAGCCCAGGAGACCAGCCTTGGAAGTAGGAGAAGTGACAGGACCTAGAAGTGGGAAGGGCTTCTCACTGAGAGATGGTCCCGGGGTTGGGTTGCCCTCTTGGATCCCAGAACAGTTTCCCAAAGCAGTATCCTGATCACACACAAGGTCAAAGGTTATAAAGATGGGGCTGGGAGCCCATAACATCAGAAGTCAAGTGGATAGGGAAGATAAGCCTGGAGAAATGTCCACATCACAGCTCACTTATCCATTCAACAAAATATGTATTGACCACCAGCATGTTTCAGACACTGCTTTAGGCACTGGGGGTACAGCAGTAAATGAAGCTGGCTAAAGCCCTGTCCTCATGGAGCCTCCAACCCAGTGCAGGGGTATTGGCTGCCTTTTATGCTGCTGCTACTGACACAAACATGCAGAACCATATAAGGGGATTGAAACAGAGAAGCCTGTTCTGATGGTAATGCAGGCCTCAGCTCTTCCTCTGACACAGGCTCTCTCCTCTCTCCCGGCACCTCTGTTCTCACCTTATGGCCAGAATTCAGCCCCGGAGCTGGCAAGACTCCTCTGTGCACATTGCTGCTGCCAACTCTGCGACCTTCACCCTGCCTGCTGCCTCCTCCCTTGGCTTCATGCAGGACGGTCAGGAGCCCGTGGACATACGGGTAACAACAGTAATAACCTGCTTGGGAACAGCCCTTTACAGTTTGCAAAGCACTTTCGCCACATCTGCTCAGTTATGTTGCTTGATCACAGTCCTGTCAATTACCCAGTATTATGATGCCCATTTTACAGATGAGATTCAATGACTTGCCCAAGGCCACGAGCAAAGTGGGAGAGCTGGGATTCAGACCCAGGCCTTCTGACCCCCAAATCCAACTTTTTCCACTATGTTCTGGAATTTCTCCAGCAGCCTTGGCTCAATTAGTCATTGGAAATGGAGCTCTTCTAATTTCATTTCATAACTAGGAAATGGCAAACCAGGGCTCTTTTCCATTTCCAAATTAGTGTGTACCTGACTCTTTGCTCCTTGAGCCCCACTGAAAGCAAACAAACTTCTTTCTCTCAGAGACTTGTTAGCTTTGCTAGAAGAAAGGCTCAGACTATTGTACAGCCTAGTAACTGCTCAGCTATAGCCAATCTGGTTGGGTTGCCTATGCCCAGCTTTCTGAGTCTACAGCGCTGAAGGGTAGACACACACTAGGAAAAACAGCAGCAGCTAAAGGCAGGGACCCCATTTACCCCTAAGAGTGAGGGCCCCTTGTCCATCCCATCTTAAGATACCTCATAATTTCCATAGGGACCTTGTCACCTTCCAGCCTTTGGGGTCCTGGGAACAACACTCCTTGTTCTTGGTTCCAGATGATGAGTTTCCCAAAAAGCCCTTTCCCAGCCCAAAGTCACTTTGATGTCAGCGGAACTGTTGGGGGCCTCTCTCTGACCAGCTCTAGTGGACAGCTCATACCCATGAAGAATCTGTCGGAGAATATCGAGGTAGACATTCGGTTGTGCTGTCAGAAGTCAGGTGGTACTTCTGCCTTTTTCAACTTGGTTGGGACTAAAAGTTGGTTGACTATGGAAAAAAATATATTAAAGAGGATAATCATTAAAAGTGATCCTTACCCTGCCCGGCCGGTGTGGCTCAGTGGTTGAGCATTGACCCATGAACCAGGAGGTCACATGTTCTATTGATGACAAGAAATTGAGGTTCAGAGTGGTTTGTTGATTGGTTGGAGGTCCTAGAGCTGCTATAGGGCAGACCTCTCTGCCTCTACGGCCTGTGCTCCTAACTTGATCCACACTTTCACCAATACTACCACTAGTTCACAGGGCACCTTCGTGCAAATTACAAAAAGTCTCTGCTTTTTCTGCGTAGCCGCAACCCTGAGCTGGGGTGCACAGCTTCATGACCATGGCAAGCTGAATAAAGACCCCAAGATGTCCATGTTCTCATCCCTGAGCCTGTGAATATGTCACCTAACATAGTGAAAGGGACTTTTGCAGATGTGACTTAAGTTAAAGATCTTAAGATGATCCTGGATTATCTGGATGGGCCCAATGTTATCACAGGTCCTTATAAAAGGGAGGCAGAGGGGGAGATGACTACAGAAGAAGAAAAGGCAATTTGATTACAGAAGCAAGAAGGCAGGTGATGGGAGGAAGGAGCTATGAGTCAAGGGTTGTAGGCAGCCTGCAGAAGTGGGAAAAGGCAAATAAGTGGATTCTCCCAGAGAGCCTCTGGAAGGAACCAGCCCTGCCAATGTTAGCTCTATGAAATGGATTTTGGACTTCTGGCCTCCAGAACTAGAAGATAACAAATTTGTGTTGTCTTAAGCCACCAAGTTTGTGGTCATTTGTTATAGCAGCTCTAGGAAACTAATCAAACGAGCAAAGCACAGAGTGGATTTCAGTTCCCCCAGTGCTCACCTTGCCCAGCTCTGCCCAGCAGCCCTGATGCTCACTGGCATTCCCACCCTGGCTCACCCCTGATTTGGTTGTTTCCGATGACAGATCCTGCTGCCTCGGTTTTCAGAAGGACACAGTGAACCAACCGTGTTGAATCTGACCAGTCCTGAAGCTCTGCGGGTGAATTTGACTTCAGGGGTGCAGCTTTGGGGATCCAGCTGCACTGGAGACCTGACATCCCACTCACACTCAGCCTGGGCTATGGCTACCACCCCAACAAGAACAGCTACGACGCCAAAGCTCACTTTCCACTAGTGACTTCTACAGGTAGTCACATCATCAGACCAGTTTCTCAAGCTGCTTCCTGGGAGTGTGAGCACCTCAAAACTTGAGCATCAGAAGCCAAAGGGAAAAAAGAAAAAGAAAAAAAAAACACTTGCTATATTAGGTGAGTACTTACTATATGCCCTGATAAGCACTCACAGAACTGACCTCGTTGCAATCCTCATAACCCTCAGGAATCGGAACTATTGAAATCTCCACTTTCCAGATAAGAGCAGAGACGTTAAGCAACTGGTCCAAAGTCACACATTCAAGAAGGACAGAGTCAGAATTTGAACCCTCATCTGTTTGACTTGGCAGCCATGTTCTGTACACTAACTGGGAGTGCCTCATTTAAGCTCCTGGTCTCAGGAGGAGAGGGTACTACTAGCACATTGGGGAGACCATCAGGGTCAGCTTTCCTGGCAAATTACCTCAGTCCCCTTTTCTATGATGTTAGCCAAGTCTCCTCTCCACAAGGCTTAGGCTGACTCTAAGCCCCATTTCCTGCAGATGGGCTGTCCACATGGAAACTGAGCCCAGAGGACCTGCACTTTGGAGAAGGTGTCTACTATCTGACTGTGATCCCCGAGTCTGACCTGGAGCTGACCCCTGGCAGAGACCTCACAGTTGGTATCACCACCTTCCTTTCCCATTGTGTGTTTTGGGATGAGATCCAGGAAACTTGGGACAATTCTGGGTGCCAGGGAAGGAGGAGGAAGTGAAGAAGACAGAACAGCTTGGTGTGGTGTGTCCTGCTCCTTTAGGGTCCTGTTTTAGTGCCTCTGGTATACCATCAGCTCCTCCTTGGGGCCTTTGCATATGTGCCTGGGAATGTGCCCCCAATCCCCATTCAGTGAAGTTAACTCCTCCATCACATTCCACCTGAAATGTCACTTCCTCCAGGAACTTCTCAATGCCCTGGTTAGCTCAGATTTCCTACTGTGAACACTCAGAGCACATAGGCCCGTCTCCTCCATGGACTAAGCAGAGTAGTAGTTCACATCCACTCAGATCAC